TCATTTGTCTTCATTTATAACTAGGGCTTCATGCAAAACAACTCTCTGGTTCAGGCTCTATTTAAGAAACATTTGAATATTTTGATTTTATTCCAATTCAAACATTTCTAGGGAAAAGAAAAAAAAAGTTTGATGATCCAATTCTGACTCTACCTGATTCCACTGAATGAGATTTTTAGTTTAAGAATAAAAGGTAACTCATATCTAATAAAATAAAACAAAACAAAAAGAATTTTTTTGGCTCAGGAAATTAATTCTGTTTGTTCAGCCTACAGTCATAATTCAGTTCAGATACTGACTATAGTACTGACCTTCCTGATGCCTTCTCTCCTCTTTCTGAATGGTGGTTTAAGTAAGAAGCATTAAATGGTACAATTTCCTTTCTACAAAGATGGAAATGGAATAACTTAATCCAGTGAGCCTGGCTGTTCTTGTTAGGTCTCTGCAAACTGTTCTATGACCAGTGTGGTAAGCGCACCCTAGATGGAAACTACAAAAGTCACCTATGTCAGATACACACTTTGCCAGATAGGATCAAAATATCAGACATGTAAACGTCTATTTGCTCCAGGAAACCATCAAAAATTCTGCTGACTCATAAATAATGACTTCACTGTGCCCCACAGTGATCTCATTTTTTCCTAGTACATATTAACAATTGCATTCTCACAAGCAAATCAAAAGCTGCTTATTAGTTTATTATTTGTTTAATTATGAGAGATGGGAAACAAGTGGTCCAGCTCAACATATTTAAAAACAATCCCTAAACAAGCATATACTGTCAAGAGGTGTTTATTTGGCATTAACATTTCCTGGAATCTAAAGAATGGTTAGATGCCCCTGGTCAACAATGATCAAGTCCGTGGCCCTGAGGTCAGTGTTGCTTAATGTCAGGGATTAGTCCTTGGGGTTTCTATACACCAATCCCTAGAAGAGTGACCTCAGTTTTAATCACCACTGAAATAAAAGGAAACACATGAAAGTGACTTTATTTAAATATCATTTCAATGGAAGAAATAAGGAAGTGGTTTGGCTTTTTCCTTACCCCCAGAAAATAGCATGAACCACAGTAAGTGCTCAATGAATATTATTCTTGATGATGTAAGAAGCATGAGGACAAAAATTTTAATATTCTCAGGATAGACTATGTCATCGAACCACTTTTGCCTACGAACATTGGTTGGAATCACAATCATACATTCAGTAACTACTTGTGTCAGCACTGAGCAAGGTGTTGGAAATGGTACAGTCAACCAGACATGGTCCTGCCCTCAAGGGGCTTACAACTATTAAGGAAACAAGCAAATAGAAAGGCACTGATGGTACAGTATGGTAAGACTTTGGTGGGGTTCTCTGTGGGCTCTGAGACACCTAAAAATCAGGAAATGCTTTAAGAGAGACTCATATCTCTAACCTTGGATCTAAGAAATGAGTTCAAATTAGCCAGGAAGAGGAGAAGAGAAAATTTTCATGAACTACACATACAAAGGCTGGGAGATGAGAAGGGGTGTTCAGAATACTGGCTGAACAGGGTGAGGGTGAGGGTGATGGAAAAAAGACCAGAGAGGCAAGCAAAGAACACAAAATGAAGATCCTCGAAGGTCATGTTGAAAAATGTAGACTTTGTCCTGAAGATCACCCTCCATCAAAAAGTTTGTATAAA